CGCCCCTTTGCAGGGGGTGAGGGGGGGGTGAGAATCGAAGGTTAGAGGTATCTGACTTTTCATGTAAAGCGGTGAAATAATTACTAACTTTAACTGTAAATAACTTTTTAACGAATGACGAGCGACAACTAAAACTTGTTGGAAGTCACTCAGGGTCATGACCTTGACAACATATGTCAAGGTCAAGGTCATCGAGGCTGGCTCCCCTCATCGGCATAATTACCGATTTAAGAAGTGTAAGATGTCGAAAATCTTGACAAAAAATTTTTTTACCATTTATTGCAAAAAAATTTCTATTTAATCATTTGTAACAAAATCTTTTAATTAACCATATTTTAATTAAAAGTTAGTGATATTTTCGACGATTTTTCTTTAAAAATTAATTATTTTTAACTATCCTTTAAAAGACTTCTTGTTTATTCTGTTATTTTGTTATTTTAATAAACATATGATAAATTACACAAACATTACAAATAAATATTATCAATTTATAACCTCAATCTGTTATTCCGATATCTCACTTTTACAACAACATATTGATAGCTACATTAGCGTAAATATTACTGAAGAAAAAAGAAAGTAGAACAAAATATCGTAAAAACGTTTAAAATATTGTACATCCACAAATGTTTCCTATCGTAAAATATAAGAGAATGAAAGAGAAGAACAAAAAGAAAATTTTAATTAAAGCATCTTAATAATATTCCATTATGATCGGTCTAATTACTTACCTGGGTTACACTATATTTATTAAAATTATACAAAATTAAAATTAATTTATCGTACTAACAAGTTGTATAATTCAATTAACGTAATTTTTTCATTCAGTAATATCTTTATGCAATATTTTCTACAAACGCTACGATATTTTCTACAAACCTAACTGATTTTTCATGTATAATGTATTTACGATTTTATTTTCACTTCATATTATTTTACACAAGATAAAAACTTGCTTCTTTAGAACTACACTTTTGTACAAAAAGGATAAATGACGTGATGTTATTTAGCTTTTTGTCTTTAAGATGATTTAGTAATTGAAAAATTAGATTAAATTTCATTTTTTATCACTAAAAAAAAAATCGAATCTAAACTCGCGGCTATGTTGATTTATGTGCTGCGTGTGAGCCTATCCTACAAACACTTATTATTATAGATGTTATTTATATTTAGTAATTATTCTTTCATTTTAATTTTATTACATATAAATTAATGTTGTGCATATGCGCAGATATATAGGGGAAGTTCAGGCAAAGCGGATGTGTTAAGATTTGGGAAGAAAAACGACACAGTTAAAATTAAGATCAGAAACCTTTTTTATTTTCATAATTCTATTAATGAAATCAACTTTGAAATAAAATTTAATTAAATTAAAAAACTTGAACGTTTAAATATCTTTTTAGTCAAAACGTAAAAAAAGAAAAACCATCCGCTTTAACCCTCCTGGGCAAAGTGGATGGGTCACTCGAGCAATAAGGATGAAATTAAAAAAATCAAAATCGGTATCGGCAGTCGTCACAAAAAGTTATAGCTACCAAATCCTTTATACATAATGCAGCCTTCATGAGCCCATTTGGTCCACTGACTGCACTGGATCTAGTCTTCGGACGGCGGATCGATATATTCTTCAGAACAGATATCATACTGCGTTGTGGAAAAAAACCAGTGAGATGTAAACAATCATGTGCTTTTCGTTCACTCGAAAGATCATCTCTCCTTCCATCTTCTCGGTATTTTTAGTGCACTCATTGAGGATGGGCTATTCGCTTTGTCCCCATCCACTTTGCCCAAAGAACCTACTTGACGCAAATTTGGAAAAATTAGAATAAGTTTAACACGCAACAAGTGAAAAATTTAACTTCGAATACACATTTAAAGTCAAAGAATTCTTATAAAAAATCATTCACACTGGTTAAGAAACAGTTACGGCTAATAACTAAACTACGTACCTTAGCGAAAATCGTAAGAAAATACACAATTTCTTTTATTCTTCTATCAAACACAAACGAACGCAATCATATATTGTTTCGCATTTTCATGGCGTCGCCAGTCGGTCATTCCTTCAATAGTTAAGAGACCCATAACACTATTTCGTATAGATAAGCGAAAATAAAAAATATTCGTTTTGCCCAGGGCGTCCGCTTTGCCTGGACTTCTCCTAAGAGTTTAAGGAGATGCTGCAGCCGTCTACATTACCAATAAAGCGTTTTTAACGTTTTTGTTCCTGTCGAACTTCTTCGTAGTTTTTATTCTTTCACAGAATAAAAATTCCTATTCCACGATTAAAATGTACATACTAATATATTTGTCGCTGAAGTATTTTGTGTTCACAAAGCTGGAAAAAATAAAAAATTATAGATTTCTTTATCTATTTTTATCTCACAATCAATATGGCGACCAACGCTAAAGATAAAATGGATAAAGAAATCTGTAATTTTTTCTTTTTTCCAGCGTTGAACATAAAATACACCAGCGACAAATACATTAGCATACTTTTTAATCGTGGAAATGGAATTTTTATTCTGTGAAACCACTACGAAAAACTTCGACAGGAACAGAAACGTCAAAAACGCTAGTTTTATCGGTAATATAGGCAGCTCTAGCATCCCCTTAATGGATTATATTTTTACATTTATTATGATAATGTGTGAACATATTTAAATGTTTTACTTTTATAAAAATGTTATAGTTGGTTTTAATTGACTATTTTCAATTTGTAGGTCTTACTTGTAAGTGTTTGGCAAAAAGTAGTTTGTTCAAATCTAAAGTTTAAACACGTCAAATTTATCACTATCTTCCTTGCCTGCAGAAAGCGCACAATCATTATGATAAGGTTGAAAGATTAAACGAATAAATATAAAGACATAAAATTATATTAAAGAATAGCAAATGTCGGCCATTGATATTTCGAGTTAGTGGTCATGTGATTAATGTGAACTCTATAGTTATAAATTGAGATATAGACACTAATTAATCAGCATCAGTAATTCGGCGTCTCAAAAGCATGAAACGCGGTGCAGAATCGCAGACGATTTTCCAACAACGATCCGCGATTCCATTGTGTCTGGGCATCGAATTATCCCATGCGCCTGATAACCGCACGACACACAATGGCGGATGGAACAAAGAGCGTTCGGCTGCGGCGCGATCGACCAACTAAGCGACGCCGATATCCAAAAGAAACGGTTCTCTTCGTAATGAGCTGCCCTATTCATTACTTAAATGTTTTACTTTATGTATTTTACACTTTGTACAATACGTGACTGCATTCAACAGAGAAAGCAGCTTTGCAACTGTTGTAAAATTTTTGAATATGATTGGTTTATACGTTTATACGTTCCTTCCAATGAGGAACTAAGAGCAAGACCAATCATATTAAAGAATTTTATAACAGTTGCAAAGCTGCTTTTTCTGCTGAACTCAGCCTATGTGTCTGCATGTGTATAATATTCGAAATGAGTCAAAACAAAACGTGCCGTTTTTTAAATTTGTCAAAAAGAAAAGGAAAAACTTATTTTCTTAAAAATTATTACTTCAAAAATTCTACAAAAAAATTACCGTACATCTATAGATATAAGCAGTCTCTGCAAAAATTTTTAATTACTTCTAATTTTTTAAAAAGTATTTTAAAATTATTAAAACATTAAAATGTGTACACTCTGAAAAATAACGGTG